CCACTTGAAAGATGATAGAGCGGTAATAAATCAGCGATTACGTATCGGTGAAATAGAAACATCAACATATCTCCTCGGGCATACCTCAGGCATGTGAATAAATTATGTGTCCCGGGGAACGGGAATTTGACGTCTGTGGTTGATATTGGGGTGGAGCATTGCACACCATATGGGAGGGGTAGGAGAAGATTTGAAAAAGTTGTTTCGTAATCATGTTGAAGATAGAAGACAACAAGAGACAGACCACCCTTCTTTGTGACGTTGTGTCTCGCAAAAAAGGCTTTGCAAAGCTTTGTGCTGTATTTGAGGGTAAATCTTAACAGATTTGCTTGTGGCAATTCAACAACCTTTATATTTTAATGATATACAAACAGTACTTGGGACACAGTGGAAGTAAAAAGCAGGTGTCCGAGGGTGAATTTTTTTTCTCTTCCATCGGTCATTTTTTCCATGTGTGTCCCGGGCGGGGGTAGGAACATTTGATCACTTAGTATGAACCTGAAGTGGGACATTTGAGCACAATTTCTAACCTGGGGGATGGGAATTTGACCAGCTGAAAATTTAAAATGTCTAATGCCAGGGGGGGTTCCCGGAGGGTGTCGAGGTTTCGAATTGACTGATACATTGGGAGGAAGGGGGGCACTTAACAGGACATTTTCTTTGTTGGGATAAATTGCAATTGGTACCTTATTTGAGGCAAGCATTTTACTAAGGAAAATATGAAATTTAAATTGTATGCTCTACCTTTCGCAATAGTGCTGCTACCCAAAACCCCTTCAACGTCCTTGGTGTCTCTCCCTATGGCCAGGCTAAATAATTCTGATTAAAATGCACTCTTCCTAAGTAATTTTAAAACTTTTGGGTCCAGCAGCCGTGTCAAGTATATACAAAGTAGGTTTAAAAACATAGGGAAAACCAATAACACTGCATAAAATTTTATTTAGTGAAGTAAATTCATGTCATGACACGGGCATCAGGATTTCTTTCTCCTTGTATTGGGCACTTCAGTTAAGAACAATTTAGTAAATCATAAGTATGAGAAAATGAAAATTGTATTTCTTCCGAACTAATTACTACAAATATTAGACTCGACAAGTATTTCGGAGGCTTGGAATAAGTAGAACGCTGCAAAATTTGACATCGTCAACGTGTGATGGTGAAAACCACCAAGGGAACCTAACTTTATAATTTGCTAAAACATCCAATTAGAACTTATAATGAGATTACATTGTACTTAATTGCGCGTAGAAAATCTAGTCTACATCTGCTTTCATCATGTCCTCAAAATAATTCAGAACGCGAACGATCGACTACTCAAAGAAAACGTGGGCTTCTGTTCGATTCGTGCATGAACTACCACATGAGGTTAACAAAGCGTGTCATCTTCCCCGCCAAAATAAGCCCCAGAGGAAAACCTCGAAGATCCGTGATCCTGCTTGCAGGATATTCCAGTAAACTGTGAATTTAAAGCGCTATTCGTTGGAGCTGTTCGGTTTTTGATTGTAACTGTTTGGCTCTATCAAGGGCAACATTCCAGTCCTTCTTCGCCGTCTCTAGTAAGGGACCCAGATAGCCGGCAGCAGTTGTGGTCGACAGGCTTTTTAGCTCCGTGGTCACTTCTTCAAAATCGCTTTTCAGTGATGCCCATGCCAACTCCAGAGACATTAAAGCGTTTGAAACTGGAACAATCGACTCCACGAATCCATCGATGTAAGACTTGACCCCGTTTAATGCCATCAGCTCTTGCCTCTCCATCGCCATCTTGAGCTCTACGTCGTGTCTCGCATCTTCTTGTTTCTTCAGGTCTATTGCTCCAGCTACGGCAAGCCAGGCAATCAAAAAACCGCCCGCAATAAGGCGTCTGTCACGGTCTATGGCCTTATTGATCGCGTCTAGCTTATCTTTCAGACTTTTAAGGTCTCCATTATCCCCAATTATCTTTGTCTGGGCCTCTTCCGAATCCGACTTGAAATTTCTCGTGTCTTGATTCAGCTTTTGACTAAACTTCGTAACCTCGGTCGTGATATCTTTCGCGTGACCAACCACAGCGTCAAGTTGAACTATTAGGGTCCCAGTAGTAGTAGCAAATTCTTCCTTTCCCTGCTGGTTCCCGTTCTTCATTTGGTCAATTAATGAATTTAGATGATCGTACTGTCCTAAGAAAGCACTGGAAAAGTTCATGGTATCGATGACACATTGCTGAATCTTTGGTTGAACACTCTCTTGCCAGTCGTGGGCATGCTTTCTTGCAATGTTTTGATGAGCAGGAAGGTTCTCAAGAGAAGCTAGCTTGATGTCTTTTTGTTCAATGACGGATTTACAGTAGTAGCTAACAACAGTGTCGGCATCCGCAACTCCGTTAAGTTGCCTTACCAGTTGAGGACTCGAAAGTTTTCCTTTGCCTGCCATTATGCCACTTCGCTATCACCCCTCGTCCTTTAGATTGACTAATAAGTGCTGTTCTCAGAGACTGAAGAGCAATTTCCAAAAATGGTATATCACCCTCCCGATAGGTCAGGGCAAGATAGCTGCGTGTTCAAGTAAAATACATCGTTACATGCATGTCGAAACGTGAAAACTTTGTCATCCATGAACGGTGTCGCGTATTGAAATGTAAACACATCTGAAGCTAATGTGAACTCTTTTGAATACATGTTTTGGCTTCTGTTTGAATGACAAGGTGAAATAAATAGCCTGTGTCACAGCCGCATTTAGACTGCAGAATCACACTTGGACTGGTAGTATTTGAACTGTATATTATATTACTTACGCACTTACTTACTTGTTTACTTTTAGTCACTGTCTGGAAAACTAAAATGTATTTTCGGTCTTTAAAACGCGATGAACGCTGCATTCCAGAAAAGAAATTGAATGTTTCAGTTTCATCAGCAATTATATTCGTTGGCAGATTAGTGACAGGGGCCTATTTGTCAATTTCCGGTTCAATGAGTTGTCATGTTGACAAGTTTCTATCACGCAATTGGTTTAAAAACTCCTCAGTGGAAGTAAGCTCTCAGTCGACTCAGTCGGTTTAGTCCGAGCATGAATTCAAAACAACACGGGGCTCTTTCCAATCCAGCAGTTAAAGACAAGCAAGTCGAGTTAACTAAGGCGTCTACTGTTATTCAGACCTATGTGTCGATTATCTTGCAGCAACCGGATCTGAAGCTCAACGCTCTTCCAAACCTTCCCGCGCATCAGAAAACTGCTCGCGATCATGCTAACAACTGGAACGATACAATCCTGCCGTTGATGTCCAAAACAGATGCCGACATCATCGACTACGCCAATAAGTTTGACTCATTCTACTTCGACTTGGTGAAGTACGCAAAAGACATCAAAAATCCAGAATCAAAGAAGAATTTGGTCGAAGGATTGAATCTACTTCTATCCACCATCAAGCAAAAGGATGCAAATGTGGAAGCTGTAGTCAGTGATCTGTCGACGTTCCACAAGAACCTCAATACCGATTATCAAAATCTCCAATCAGATGTGAACCAAGCAGCGGTAAAGATTGAGGGCGACAGTGGCGAACTCAAGGCGCTAAATGATAAACTTGATGCTATCCACACTGCAATGCACAAGGACATCGGCCTAATGGTTGGTGGAGCCGTGACGATTGTCACTGGAGTTGTAATGATCGTTGTTGGAGCAGTCACCGAAATACCTTCTGGCGGTATCTCGACAGCACTGATTGGAGGAGGTGTCCTGGTTGTCTCTAGCGGCGTGATGATGGAAACTATAGGATCCACTGACTACAACCAACAGATTGACAAACAAAAAACTGTGCAGGAAGAATTAAAAGGCGATGAAATAGAGCTGACCGGTGTTAAAACTACCAAGCACCAAGTGACAGGTTTTGTAGATGGCTTGAAAAATGCCATCATAGCGGCCACTAGCCTGAAAGCTGCCTGGCAGACACTTGATGCAGATCTTGAAGAGCTGATAACTGCTATTAAAGATGTCGATCCCAACATCCCTGCCACCTGGTTACTGGATGAGCTAAACCGTGCCAAACTGGATTGGCAAGTTGCTCTAGATCAGGCCAAGATGCTGCAACCTGATGGCAAGGTGCCAACTAAGTTGTACAAGAAAGTACAGGATGCTTTCAAGCAAGCGAAGCCACCCAGGCAAGCTTGAACTGATAGGGAAAGAACGATAAGTACGTTTTTGCCACAGGACAGTTAGTCAAACCTTTTTCGTTTTTAATGAAGACCGTTTAATAATAGCCAGAATGACCAAGGTGAAGGATTCTTAATGTTACGTTATGTTAATTATAATCTAAGAAAAAGAGCGGTCTAATTGTTCCGACTTTGATGAAGAGCAGTTTCAAAATATTGTGCACAAACTACCAAGATTGATTTGCGAGCAAAGTTGTCTCAAAAATGCTGATAAAAGCTCAAGTCCAATATTTCTTTAAAATCCTAACTGACCCATACATTCTGCTAGCAGCTATCAAAATGCTCTGTGCTCATAACTAGGCCAAGATACCCTTTAAATAAATAATTACAAATATGTTTAAATATATGTGTGCCATAATGACACAGTTGTTTTTCAGACTCATTATCTGATGTTATTTGACAAAAAGAATTTTGTAGTGGTAATAAGGATGAAATTTCAATACATACATACTTTACTTAATAAGTAGGTTGTTACAGAAATGGCAGCTAAAACTACTACAGTACAGTTAACTTATGCTACTGATCCTGGCCACGATTCTGGCCTATGATTTGCCATGTTATGTGACCGTTACCAAAAACTTAGGATAAGAGGGAGAATATTTCAAAATATAATAAACTTATGGTACAAAAAATAAAATAAATACATATATATTCCAAACTCAATCATGTTAGTAGTGTTG